AAAAGTAGTTACTTAATTAAATTTATAAATAAAAAGTTTCCTCAAATGCAAATAAATATTTCAAAGAATTATTAAACAACTTATTTCTTAAGAAGTATTTAATTTTCAAGTCATTAATCAGGTACCTGAAATTTACAATTTTTTTTTATGTTTTCGTGGAAGAGGGGAAATCTTCAAAAGACATCCGTATGACTGGGTAGTGTCGGATCCCTGTCCTCGGACCTACCGACTAAAACCCCTCTACCTCAGGCCGTTCTATGACCAATTAAGGTCCTCTTCAGCCTTTACAACAATATAATTCGAAGATTTAGGTGATTTCTCCCTGTTGTAAAGGTACATCTCCTTTCCTTCAAATTATCTCCATAATTTTATTTAATAAGTTAATTTTAAAAGCTTTAATAAAAAAGAGTTGTTACTAATGTGAAGGTAAATTCCTGAATTTCGAAAGTCGATGGAGAGTTGATTTCTTACTGTTACAGACACAAGTCCTTCTTTAGCTTCCTCAACATTCTTAGAAATCAGCTGGACCCAATTTCTGATAGAGTCACAAAATTAATCAAATAACAAATACGCTTTCAATCTGAGATGTGCAACGAAAAAATTAAACTATAATTTGGTACTCTACTTTGAAAGTGTATTTTCTATTTAAGTAATTTTGTGATGGGATGGTTGTTACCCAAAACAGATAGATGTAAGGAAATTAAGTTAGTAAATAGATTATATTAGCAGTTTTAAATGATAATATAATGTGCTATCGAATTTTGAATGCAATGGCTTTAGAAGCTGTTTTGCGGCTAATTAAAATGTAAAAAAGGTACTTGATGCTTGTTTTTTTAGTAACAAAGTTCATCTCAATGTGTAAATTATTATAAAACAAAATATTGAAATAAATTAATAAGACTGTTTTTTCAGATATCATTTTGGATATAAATTGAACATTTTCTTAAGTTCCAAATACTATACACTTATAGTAGTGTATCTTATAAAAGTAGGCATTTTAAATTTTGCATTCAAACAAGACAGCTTTTCTAAATTATTCGAATATGATTTTTATGAAAAAAGGTACTTCCTTTCTGCATCATTTTTTACTTTACCTATACAATAACCACCACGAAAGCACAGCTA